AAAATCAAAAACCTCGAGTCAAAAGACCACATCAAAAATAACCAAAAATCTCTTAGCTTTTTCTATAAGACGTGATCATTTCACTCGAGTTTATTGATTTAAATGTATTTAAAAGAAATGATAAAGAAAATTTGATACGAGAACTTCTTATATCAAGTTTATTTGCACATTTCAAAGTATATGAAACTGAACAGATCAATTTTTATAGGAATTGGCTTATAATTGAAGAAAAATTCAATCATTATGAGTCAGTTAAGATGTTGAGTTTAATAATGCAACGAGTTCTACATTTTAAATCAATAACAGAAATTATCGATATGTTTATATGTATTCGTACAAGATCATATGATGATGTAATAATTATTTTAGATAATCATCAATTTCCTTGTAACACATTGAAAAAAGATTGGTGTATAAAAATGATGAAAAATCGGTTAACAAATAAAGATGTTGATGAAAATTATTTAAATCGACTTTGTCAAAATGTTTGTACAACATTGAATATGAAATTTATTGAAAATCTTTTCAAATATATATCACGAATAGATAATTTACGTGAATTTGCAGATGTAATTAAATTTTGTTCGATTAAAACTCCTAATTTAGATGACTTTCATCAACAGCTGCTGGAATGGATTATTTTCAAGTGATTTATGTTTATATTTGGCAAAGATTATTAACAATTAAAGAAAGATTTATTATGTTTAATAACAGAATGTATATGATTAATGGAAAAGTTGAATTTGAAAATGAAAAAATTGTATTAGAATATTTGGATGAAAATAATAATCTTATCAAAATATTAGATTTGGAAAGTTATATTTTAGAAAATAATGATATTAGTAATATAGGAGAAGTTATTAGTGGTGATTTAGATAATTATTTGAAAAAATGTTTAGATGAATATTTGACTAGTCTAATCAATCAGAAAAAATTAAAAATTCCAAATAATTATAAAGAATTTTATAAAACTCAAAAATTCAAATGGATACATAACGCAATCGAAGCATTAAATTATCAAGCAAATATACATTATGTTGTACAAGAAAATCAAATTAAACCAGTTGACTATTATAGTACGGGTATTGTACAAAGTTCAACGAATTGGAGCGATGGTTTACATCAATTTTTACAAATTAAACATAACTTAAAAATGACTTCGGAAACATTTACGACAAATTTTCTATCAAATATTGGTTTTATCAATAATTATAAAAATATTTATGGTTTAACCGGTACACTTGGTTCAGATAAAGCAAAAAAAGTTTTAAAAGAAGTCTACAATGTCGATTTAGTCAATGTTCCATCATTACGTCAAAAACAATATCTCGACCTGGAAACTATCGTTGTTCAAGATGAGACGAAATGGCTAGAAAAAATCTGTTCAACAGTACTTATTGAAACTAAAAAAGATCGAGGTATTTTGATTATCTCTGAAAATATAGCTCATGCAAATCGACTTGGTGATCTGTTGAAAATTCGACATCGATCAACTGCTATTAAACTTTATACAATGAATAATATGAATCAAGAGAGACATGTTGAAAAAATCTTACCGGGTGAAATCATTATTGCAACAAATTTAGCTGGAAGAGGAACTGATATACGTACAGATGATATTGAAGAATTTGGCGGTTTACATGTTATTTTAACATTTATGCCAAATAATCAACGTGTTGAAGATCAAGCTTTTGGACGAACAGCAAGACAAGGCAAACGTGGTACTGGTTTGATGATATTAAATTCAATGAATTTAATCGATTATAATCAAGTTAATACCAAAGAAGTTAAATTACAAAGAGATATTATTGAATCAAAGATATTAGATGAGTTTCAAAATAATGAATTGAAATTGATTCAAATCAAAGATAAACTATTTAAAGAATTCTGTCGATTTTTAAATGATGAAATTCGCTGTGATATTAGAAGTAAACAAGGATACGTTCAAAAAACAATAGAACTATTTAAAAATGTCATGCCAACTGTTTATGAAACGAATATACTTGCAGCTATTGAAGAACAATGGGCAATATTCTTGAGAAAATTAGATGATAATATTATAAAATTAGATTATGCCGAAGAAGAATGCAGAAAATTGATTGTCACCTTGAGAAAAGATTACAATGAAGGAAATATTATTAAAAATGCATATTATCATACAGTAATTGCAAATGATATTATTGTAAATGAATGGTCAACACATAGCTCTTCGAAAGCTAAACGTGCTTTGAGTCATTTTGAGAAAGCCGTTCAATTAGATGAAGCTAGTTCTGGTTTGATATATTCAGGTATAGCCAGCGTGTAACTAACTCAGGAAATGTCAATACTTCTTCTTCTCATATGTCAAATGCTTGTTCGCCCTTCTCAACAATTTTGCTTTCAGCTGAACTGTCAGCTGAATTACTACTGTTGTTACTATATCTTTCTCAGTCCGGATAACACTGATAAGCTCTTTGTTTCAACTCCTTACCTATCATCCTTCTGGGGATTTCAAGAAAACTTTTCATTGACACCCACAAAAAAGGAATAAAGTCACTTCTAAGATAGAATCCTAAGCACTTCGGGCGAAAGTTTGGATGAGTATTTTGAAGAGGCGTGATGGGTGCCAATGAAAAATGGATTATTTCGCAAAATGTAGTAACTTTTATTTAATATCTAAGAAATACTAATCCAAAGTAGTGAAAGAACTGACAGATAATGCATAAAGGAACAAGAACTACTATGTAGTTTTTTCCTCTGTTACTTCGAAAGTTAGTGATGTAAACTTACGAGGGAAGGTCCCCAGGTGTGTCCCGTGGATTTCAATGAAAATGATGTGGGTTTGTTAAGTCAAGTATACCTATCTCAGGTGTGAAATAATTAGTGGCTACGGCTGCGACAGTAAAAACTTATAACCAAAACACTTCTCGAAAATTTGACGCATATGCTTCGCTATACTGATTTTATCAATTTTTCGAGAAGTGTTTCGGCTATTCTTATTTTGTAAGATATCAAATATCTCACTGGATTTTTGCTTTATACTATCCTGTGCGTTTTCAAGAATGTTAAACATTCTTTTCCATATGTTCATACTTTGTCACGATTCCTGTTGAAGACAAATATATAGCGACATCTTTATGACGACATCGACGTAATGAAAAGTACTTTATGTAAATGTTAGAGTAAAGTTATTCGTACGATATAGTACAATGTATCATTTTTTATTAAATGGTATAAATAATGAACAGATACTGCTTTATCAATTGACAATTGTCTACCTAATCAAAATTGTGGTACACAATATTGCAACTGTAAGGAACGAAAGAAAAGAAGAGAAAATTAAAGATTTTTATAAACGTTATAACACTAACAACAATAAATAAGCAGTCAGAAACATTATAATCGTCACACGACACCGCGTTTTCATCTAAAGCAAGAGGATGATTAAAATAGAGAAGAAAAAATTGCGATCTAATGCAAGTACCGAGGGTCGTTTTACTAATAGTTCTAAATAGATCTTAAATTTAAGTAACATCCCAAGTTTTGACTCAATGCTTAGTTTTTCATTCAAAATCTTGTCGAATTGAGTTTTTGTTTTCATTTAAATTTGTTTTGTCTCCATAAAAATTAAGTTTTGCTTTAAAACATTTAGTTTTTTCGAGTGAATACTGTAAAATGATGTACTAAAACAAACGAAACGTTGACTTTAGTCTGTGCTTTTTGTAGAGTTTTTAACTGATCTCATTTCGTGTGTATACCCGTTTTTTTTTGTTGAAAAAAATCTACTAAACCTACTTGGAAAAAAAACCAGTATACACGTACACTCACCTATCAAATCCTATCAGAATAACTTGTCCATAACTATTTTTTTGACTTGATCACTGATTTTAGATGTATATTTATTCTTTCCTTCTCCAGACGTTTATTGCGACATTTGTATACACAGCAAATGCAAAAAAATATGCTAAAGGACAGAGTGTAATTGAACTATTTAACTTATCTTGTTTGTCATTCATGTTTGTATGTTCCTTTGTATATAGGTACAAGTATATGTCAACAAAGTTGGTCCCTATTCAAATCCTCAAGAAACTTATCATTATTATTCATTACCGGTTTGCAGACCACAAAAAGTAATTGAAGTAGTACTAAAAGTAGAATGGATGTTTGTAACTCTGTTCGTTTGTAGATTGTATCAAAAGAGTTAACGTTAGGTGAAGTATTATCGGGTGATAGAATGGCACAATCACTATACGAAATTACATTTAATGGTGTGTATGTGATTTGCTGTATAAGTTTTTCTATCAAGTTAATTTTTCTTATATTTGTAATATAACAAACAGAGTGAATATGCGCTAAATCTACTATTATCCTTAGCACGTCATTACTTATTTCTTTTGTTTTTATCTGTGCTGTTGATTGGTGCTATAGTTGAAAGAAAAGATTTTTGAGAATGTTTCATTTAATGATTAAGATGGAAACACCTTTATCATTTGGAGAAAAAAGCGAGACAAAATGTATTTCGATGTATAAATAAAAAGGACTATTACGTCAATTTCTTTAATTCTATGCAGTTCTTTTTTGATGTATTTAACAGGATTTTATTCATTATCTATTGAGTTTTCACTTGAATAGCTGCATTTTGTTGGATGGCAAACATCTTTCTTCGCATTGTTTTTCTCTAACTTATTTCTATTCATATCTTTTTAAGTTTGTTTTTGTTTGTTTGTTTAGAAAATATCCCAAATAAACTTTTGTGTGAATTACTATTAGAAACAAAAGATGTTCAATCATTGGAAAAGTCTATTGAAGAATTTTATTACTTTGAATTTGTTGTTGGTAGGTAAATAATAAACGTATAAACTAAATCTCTTTTTTACATACTCTCTCTTTCTCTCTTCTGCTTGTAGATGATATACCCTGCCGTGGTTTTGTTGGTCAAGTGGAAGAGACGAGCATTATACCTCATACACATAATATTTACGTATATACACATCATCATTTCGATTTCCATATCAATAATAATCGAGTAAGCACAATCATTCTACTAACTGTTCAATATAAGTAAGATCAAATTACCAAGATTTCTAAAATAAGATGCTGTTAAAAGTTTGATAGACTGCATTAATAACTTCTTTTCCCCGTTTCTTGTGTGATCATAGTAGTGACGAATTGGGTGGCACTTTACCTTTACTTTGCTCCTAACTAATAACTAAATTAGTTACTCGTTACTACAACGCATAACTGATTTAGTTACTTCGTCACCCGAAACGAGTAACTAACTTCGTTACTTTACTAGGTAAAGTAACGCTGAGTAAGGTGCCACTCCTAGTGACGAATGATGTTTTTTACTTGGAGATACAATCATCCTCTTCCGGATATCTAAACAACTGCTTCGTTTTAAACATCATAAGTTTTTCCCCTCAAATAGATCTCGATGAGTGATGAAAAACTTCTCCTAAAAGTATTTTTTCTTCGAGTTTTCGTCTTCTAGTAGTCGTCACAGTGGAACATAGACCTCCATCAGGACAGCGTTTCAACTAGCAGGCCTTGAAATATAGATAAAATTCAAATTTTTATTACCAGTAGACCAAATATAATATGAAATCTATTTTTTTGGCTTGTCATAAACAGCTCTACTATTGGTCGGAACATCAAAAATACAAATTAGAAGGAAAAAGAGTCACTTTTTTGCAGTGCTTGTAGTAAAAATTTGAGCTTCGAACGTCAAATCCTGCTAGTTGAAACGTTGTCTCGACAGAGCTAAACAAAAAGATTCTGAAATATATGCAGTGAACGAAATAGACCATAGTTTGGAGACTATAGGGAATACTGTGAGATAACTCTCTAATCAACCAAGAATCTTGAAAGAGAAATTATAAGATTTATGATTTCAATTGTTTTTCCTGTTGCAAAGTGTGTTTGTGTTTGTGTTATTTACAAATTTGTCCAACTAGACTATTTTGTGATAAATCAGATAAATCAGAATATTTATCAGTCAAAACGGCGTCAGACAGTTGGCGAGGTCACCTTGTTAGACTAATGAGAATTTGTACGTTTTTTTTTCTTTCAAGGATTTTATCTAGCTTGACTTGTTTTCTAGACGATTTACATTTCTTTATTTCTAAGTATAAATGCAGTTTACTTCACTTGCCATGCTGAATTCTTCTGTAGTGAATTGAAAAGACATATTTATCAATATCTGTTTTTGAGTCGGTACGAATGATATTTTTTCCTACGAACCTAAAAATTTAAGAAGATTTAAAAATCAAAATAGAATAATTTAATATTTTCAAATATATTTAAGAACATCTACTCATATTGCTTCCTTATTTTTATCTTTTACAGATAATTTATGTCAATATATCAACAAAAGAACGGACTCCAACATTATTAAAAGATGATGGAACGTCGGTATCGAAATTAGAATATTCATATAGTGCAAAATGGCATGAAACAGAGTGTGTATGAACGTTGCTTAAACTTTGTAAAGGGAAATGCATCCGTTGCATCTTGGTCAACTGAATCGAAAACAAGAAAGGTTAATTATTTACTGTGATGTATCGTTTAAAAATGAGAAAATCTAAAAAGAAGTAAATGCTCGATGAGTTAGTGAGTCCATTGCAGAGTACAGACAAGTACAAGTACAAAAAATAGTTTGTACTTTTTTTTAAGTACATTTCAAGTATTTTTTGACTTTTACTTCTCGTCTGTTGTCTTGTACCTTTGTTCTACTGTAATGCGGTTGTCTGAGTTAGCAGTAAGTTGTAGAGAATTCTGCAGCAGTGTTTGAGTGATTTCTTAAGATTTCACTACGATTCCCAACAGTCTGTTCGATGAAAAATTTCTCACCATTTAACAATTTCGCTCAACAATTTAAGTTCTTTGATAAGTGTGAGTGTATACCTTTTGTGAAACATAAAGAGTGATATATATGCGTGATAAAAGATAAAAATCTATACAATAAATATGAGTAACATAAATATAAAGTAACAAAGTAAAATTTTTAACAGAATAGATTGACACGTATTAGATTACTGACATATCGTCATGGAACTAACGAGGGACTCTCGCCAAATGTTCGACACCGTTTGAGTTCATATTCTGCTGATCGATATGGCACATTGATATAATGAGAAGCAAAGAAAAGGATTCGAGTTCATGCCGCTTCTTTCCCGAGTTATACTTGATTTGTTGAAATGCGAGTTTCTATATTCTGAGTGTAATGCAGAAATCCAACGACTTGAAGGCCTGAAATTCACAGCAATTGTAGTCCTATGTGTAGCCTCTAGGCTCTAAAAATTCCAGCCCTTAGTATCTTGTTCTTCCGGGGAGACAATGAAATTTCTGTTTTTCAGAGGGTTTCACCACTGGCTTATGACTTACAAATACAAGTATTAGTACTTTGTACTTGAAAAGTACAGGTACAAGTACAAATATCCATGCTCTGGTCCATTGTATACTAGTTTAAGAGTTTTAGACATTTTTTTTATCTTTCCATAATTTTCGGTGTCATGTCGTTGTTTCACTGTACGATTCAGTGTTTTTTGAATATAGTAGAGCAAATTTTTCTTATGAAAATGATTAATTCATATAATTTTAATAAAAATCATTGCTTTTTTTTGCTTCTAGCACACCATATAAACTTCGTGCAAAATACTTATCCACAACTGGTTTTTTTCCCGAAACGTTAGAAGTATGTACACATCATCTGATATCTCTGATCTGTAGCAAATATATCCCACATTTTAGGTTCATTGGTTATCTGTCATTAATTCAATGGTGTTAGTCTTCTTATTGATCGGCTTCGTGGTTATTATTTTAGTACGTCACCATTTTTGTTTTGCTAAATCTAACTCTGCTGTTGATAAGAGAAAACGTTTAGGATTATTGAGTGTCCAAATCGAACAATCTTATGAAATCTGATCCATAAGATCAGAGAAACTGTTTCATCTTATAAATATCATACAAAAATCTTACGAAATCTGATAAAATCTTACTATAAGATCTTACATCAAGAATCAGTTTCTATGGTTTCGTACAGAATCTTACGAAATTAGACGGAAGCGTACAAGAATATTGTAAGGTCTTACAGTAAGATTCTTTGATCTGGGTGGCTATACGCTGGAGACATTTTTTGTTTTTTGAGTTCTCGATTAATTATTTTTGAGTCAATGATAATATTTCTTCAAACATATGTTGCTTAGATGAATGAACAGCATATCCATTTGAAGATTGATGCTATCAGAATGTTCTTAAAACAAAAGTTTTTAACACTGTAACATCTGCCTTTCGCTTCTTTTGTTTAACTATTTTCTTGTTATTCTGTCATTTTTTATCAGATATTTTTCTTTCTGACATTTTAGTCTCGTATACTAAAGCACGATTTTAACCATGTAAATGATGACGATAATCCGGAAGGAGACAATGGATGGAAAATTATTCATACCGATGTATTTAGATTTCCCAATCAACGAGCACTTTTCTGCTCCGTATTAGGTGAATAAGAATTTAAATTGATCATTGTTGTTTGTCTATAAAAGATGCAGTAAAAACGATTGAAAGGACATTTCCTTGAAAATGATAATCTCAAGAATAATTTCCTCAAAGACAGTTTTCTCGAATAAAATTTCCTCGAATAGAAATCTCTTTGAATTATTCAAACATATCAATATTATTTACAGCATATAAAATAAGATAAATATGAAAAATGAACTCAAAAAGTATTATACATTTTGTCACGAATAGAAGAAAATTCAACATGAATCAGTAAAGGTTTTGATTCAGAAGTTTGTCGAAAAAATTGCCATGTTTATAGTACAAATAGATTGTTTCAAGTGTAAAATGTATAAGTGTACTAGAGATTTACATGTCGATCTTTTTGTTGATTAAAAGATTAAAAGTGTTTCAAATCTAAATTAATGGTAATAGTTGATTGTTTCAACTCCTTCTCCCATCTATTTTTCTTTTGATTATTTCTTACCATTTTGTGTTATTTCTCTTCTTTGTATCGAATGTAATGTATTCAAAAAACTTTTAAAATGAGTTATAGTCTGATTTTTCTTTTTGTATAACCGAAAATTTGAGGTGATTCTATATGCTGTAAATAACATTGATAATTTCTGTTTGAACAATTCCTGGAGGTTTCCATTCGAAGAAATTCTATTTGAGACAAACTTCATTCGAGCAAATTTCAAAAACAGAATAATGAACTTCTTTCGATTATCAAACAATGGAAAAGCATTCGATAAATACCGTACGTTTTTCGTCTATTATGAAGTACGTTATACCAGGTGCGCCAAAATGATTGCAACATTCTTTATTTTGCGTATATCTCAGTCCCGAAATATGATAAAAGTTTAATTTCTTTTTTAGAAGATGCGTCATTTAATTCTCTACAAAAGAACATATTGAACATTTTTCTATATATCTTAAAAAATAAGAGAATATGAAAGAAAATACGGCGAATATGCAAGCTCGACTACTGTCTAAACCAAAAAACACCGAGAAACAAAATTATTTTGAGCACGGTGACATACGTGGAAGTGGAATAAAATATATGTTCTGGTGTTCCTAAGTGTCGTCTTTCTTTTCAAATATCATAGGTTCGCTTTAAACGTATTTTTCTTGAATAAAAAGCGATCTTACCAAAACTCATTCTAAACACGAGAGAGAATTTGACTTTTTCGTCTTCGCACAGTAGAAATAGCGAATCTATAGAACTTTTTCCGTTCATATGTTAAAGCAGGGTTATTTTCCTTCAAAGTAAAACAAATCCAATCTTAAGATATTTGATTCTAGTTGAGTTATGAAATTTTTCCTTCGTGATCCCAAACTGTAGTTTGAAACTGATGATTTTTGGCAAAATCGATAAAAGAAAAAAAAACTCTCTCAACCTCTTGTGATTACGAAGAATTTTAAATATAGCAGGTTGGTAGAACTTTTCAACGGCTACAAAATGACTGTTTTCTGTTTTATTATATTGCAAAACATAAAGGACCAAAATTGATAAAAACAGTTTTTTGGCCTAGGAAGTAGTCGAGATTGCATATTTGCCGTATTTTCTCCATATTTTCTTATTTTTTAAGGTATATAGAAAAATGTTCCGTCAATGTAAATTATTGATGGAAGTGAAAATACATTTTATTGTATATGATAAACTCCATCCGTACTTCTCACGACGTAACTTCTTCAAATGTGAAGTCGTTGTTGAGCTGAAACCTAGTGGGTTATAGGTAATCGACGGTGCTGATTCTGATTATCACCATGCCGTTTATCTCTGTGCCTTCAAAGATCCGTTTTCTAGAAAACCAGTTTTCAGAAACTCTAAAGAATAACCAAAACCTTTCTTAACGAGGCATAATTATAGTGCGCACATTTCTGATTAAAATGAGACATGTTCCGGCTCTACACGACCTTTCTTTGCAAACTTATAGAATTTACAAGAAAAGCCCTAAATGTTCATTGTCAGCTCAAAGCTACAGAAATAAGAAGAAATTAATTTAGGGCTTTTCTTGTAAATTCTATAACTTTGCAAAGAAAGGTCATGTAGAGTTGGAAGATGTCTCATTTTAATCAGAAATTTGCGGGCTACAATTATGTCTCATTGTTAGAGCCTCTGAAAAACTGATTGTCCAGGAAACGGATCTTGGAAGACATAGTGGCAAACGGCATGGTGACATTTGGAATCAGCACCGTCGATTACCTATAACCCACTATATTTCAGCTCAACAGCGATTTCACACTTGGGGAAGTTACCTCATAAGCATAGATTCTACGCTGAATCATTGCATTATAGTGTACGCTTATGCAATCGTTTACATTTTCAAATAGATAGACTACATTTTATGACTATTTGTCATTTTCTATTTTGTGTTTATTTTTTATATAATAGGTGTCGGTTGTCAATTTTTATCAATATTTACGGGTATATTAATATTTGCTGTATGTGGAATGTTTACTGTTCATCGTCATGGTTCACTCATGGCATCGGGAGTTATTCTATATGCGTTTACATCCTGTGTTGCTGGTTATATGTCGGGAAGAATGTATAGACAATTACAAGGTGAAAATTGGGTTTGGAATATTATTTTAACTGCCAGTTTATTTACAGGTTCGTCTAGTTATTCTAATGTAAAACAAAAACTGACTGTTTACTAAATTTTTAGTTCCATTTTTTTTTATATGGTCTATTATAAATTCATTTGCATGGGCGTATGGTACAACACAAGCGCTACCTTATACAACAGTACTCATATTAGGATTTATGTGGCTATTTGGTATGTAAATTTATTTAAGATTAAATGAAAAAAAATTTGTAATAATTTTAAATGTATATTTTTTTATTTTATTCAGTTGGTTTTCCATTGACCGTTCTCGGAGGTATTTTTGGTAAAAATTGGACATCTAATTTTGATGCTCCATGTCGTACAAAGAATATTGCACGTGAAATACCCGAAGTGTCCTGGTATCGTTCATCTTTTGTTCGAATGTTAGTCGGTGGTTTTCTGCCATTCTCGGCAATATCAGTTGAATTGTATTATATCTTTTCAACATTTTGGGGACGTGAACAGTACACACTCTATGGAATATTAATGATTGTATTTGTTATCTTATTATCGGTCACGGCATGCATTTCAATTGCTCTCACCTATTTTCAATTGGCTGCAGAAGATTATAGATGGTGGTGGAGATCAATTATTACATCAGGGTACGTTTGTCACTCTAGTCATTAATAAAGACCTAGTATATCACAAAGAGAGATTTTATGCTAGTGTATTAATTACTAATTTTGATGTTTCTATCTCATTTTAGATCAACTGGAGTATTTGTATTCTTTTATGCCGTATTTTTCTATTTTAATCGTAGTAAAATGAGTGGCACATTACAAACGATGCAATTTTTTGGTTATACTCTAATTGCATGTTATATCTTTTTCTTAATGTTAGGAACAGTTGGCTTTTTTGCCTCACTAAAATTTGTACGTTACATTTATATCAGTATTAGAATGGATTAATGAAAGTCAGTCGACAACACATCGTTCAAGGTTACTCATGTTCAACAAACACAACAATGATGGAATCTCTTTCTCTCTCTTTCTCTCGCTGTCTCATTCCCTTGTCGATTTTATCATGTTTTTTATTTCGTTTTCGAAGTGATATTTTCATACATTGTGACTTGTTTAGATATTCCATCGTCATGTTTTGTGATTACTTTAATTTTGTCTACACTTGTCTACCCTTACTTTAAAATAGAAAGAAAATTCTTTTGCGAATTGATGAGGTGTGTTTTAGAAGAATTTAAAAAAAATGACTTCGAGGTCAAAGTTGATTGAGAAAATAAACTACTGTCCATTAAAAAAGTCGGTGTGTGTGAACATATTTTGAATAACTCGAGAACGATAAGAGATAAAGATCTGCAGTTTTCACCATTTTGTGAAGGAGACGTTACTCTATCGTTTCATGCATGAAGATTTGGAGAATTCGAATTTTCAGGTGATGTACCTCGCACATCTTCAAAATATTCAGTCGCTGTTTGATATTCCATAGAGTATTCTGTATACAAACTATGCAAAAGATAGTCTAGGATGTTCTCTACAAATCTGCGCAATGCCGACGTTGCTAGCTTGTTCCATTCACGAGCTATAAGTATTTTTAGGAGAGCCTCTATTTCAGCCAGTTGGTCTTCTATCACTCCGAAACAAGTTAAAATAGAGGTAATCGACCACGCTGAGTCACATGGTGATGCATGCTTTTAGTTTCAAAAGAATTTGAAGTCAATAGATCAAGATTTTTAAATTTCAACGTTCTGCGGCTTTGTGGCGTATTGAGTGAGTATTTCGAAAATCTTGATCTATTGACTTCAAATCGTTATGAAACTAAAGCAAACATCACCATGTGACTCAGCGTGGTCGATTATCCCTATCTGACTTGTTTTCGAATGATAGAAGGCCAACTGACTGAAATAGAGGCTCTCCTAAAAATACTTATAGCTCGTGAACGGAATAAGCTAGCAACGTCGGCATTGCGCAGATTTGTAGAGAACATCCTAGACTATTTTTTGCATAGTTTGTACACAGAATACTCTATGGAATATCAAACAGCGACTGAATATTTTGAAGATGTGCGAGGTACATCACCT